CATTTTTTGTTTTTAATGGTTAACAAATGAATTCACAAAGCTAGGAATTTACTACATGCTTAGAAACTCAAAATTAAGCAATGAAATCTGCCAGGATTTAAGTTAGGTAATTTTAATACATGTATTTAATAAAAATAAATTTTAGTTAGCATAAAAACATACGATCATAACACACAGCTCAAATGTTTAAGGATTCCAGACGGCTTGCTCTGATGATATGCAATCCCCATGAAACCATTTACTCTGACATACAGTGGGGAAACAGCCTCGGGACAAGTGTCAGAATCACTGAGTTCATTTTTTCTTTATCAGTCAGTTGGAAAGAATATCATCCACTATTAGAGACCTAAGGTAGTATACATAGTAGGTGCTAAAAAAGTCAGTCATTATCAAGAAAATATTTGTTAAGCAAAGATAAACTAAAGCCTCTGTGTTCTGAATTCATGACTTCCAAGATAAGTTTGACAACAGACAAACAATTCTCATTTTTGCAGCTCTGAAATGGCTACTTTCCCTTTACTTTTATTCCTTTCTTTTAAGTTAAGCAATCTCACTGTTTTAAGAAACTGGGAAATAAACTATTATTTTCAATAATCTTTCTCTGCTAAAATAGCAAAAATAATATTAGCATCTCACAATATATTAACTCCATCTTATAATCCTTTATAAATAAAATGGTCTTGAGTATATAAGACAGACTGAAGAAAAAATACTACAATCCAGCTCAGGGAAATTTCCGCTCAAGTAGTGCTGTCGCTTTTCTTTAAATAGTAAGCATATGTTTTAAAAGAATGTCTGAGTTGCATTTTTATGATATATACATCTCCCAAGATCTGAGACACAGCCAAATGTCAACATAATAATTTTACTAAAGACTATAATAGCTTTAGGTCAATTTCCAAAATACATTTACAACACATATTCTATCCCAATCCTTTCTGTTTACACACCGTATTTCTGCTCATCAGGTCACCTATGTAAACCACTACGTTAATCTCTGGTGCCCAGACTTCAAACTCCCTCTGCCATGAGGTGAGGGTGGATAAAGGGACGACTATAAGAAAGGGGCCATATAGCTGGTGCTGGTGGAACAGGTAGGAGAGGAATGATATGGTCTGGATGGTCTTTCCCAGGCCCATTTCATCAGCAAGGATTACACTGTTACTTCTGCAGAAAGAAAAAAAATAAAGACGAAGAAATCATTAGTTCACCAAAAAACAGGAAGTGCACAAACAACAATGACACCAATGCCTTACAGTGTCAGCCAAGCAAGGCATGAGTTGTGAGCCTCAACTATATTTCTGCTCATCTGTAAATACCTGCTACATGAGGAAGAAAGTGGAGGCTATGAATAACAGAATGGCAAGTGATCTGAGCATAATCAAGATTAGTCAGACTATGTTCCTTACCTTGCAATGGGCTGTTTACACCAATCCCTTAGATCAGAGAATGCAAACTTGGTTACACTGGTGTACACAAGCACAAGACCTTGGATTCCATCAGTGTGGAACACATAGGCAGACTGGCTATCCCACTGCTGGTGAACCCTACAGCCTCAGTCTCTAGCCTTTGCTCAAATTAGCAACCCCACTGTACTGCAAGCCACTGGGTTGTTTCCTACTGTATACACTGCTCCCTAAACCTCCATGCTGCAGGTACATAAGGCTTGTTTTACACACACTACAGTCTACAACAGTGGTAGTCGGCACATGAGATTTCTGGGCCCCACCCTGGACCTTCTTAATCAGAGTATCCGGGGAAAAGCTCCAAGAATCTGTATTTTTAACAAGCACTTAGAAGAATCTGATACAGATGGTCCTTGGATTACACTTTGAAAAACACTGATCTAGGAGATGGGCTGGATTTCAACAGGATATTAGGAGAAAAAGACTATATGGATGTAAGAAAAAAATACGAGGAAATGTCCAGA